AAAAAAATGACAATGAGTATGTATATGTTCATGTATAACTGAAAAATTGTGCTCTACACTGGAATTTGACACAACATTGTAAAATGATTATAACTCAATAAAAAACCTTAAAAAATTGTTTTAAATTAAAATAAAAATTTAAAATGTTATTTAAAAAAAAAAACGTGACCCGATTTGGGAAGGAGGGTGCAGGGTTAGAAGTGGGAGGTGGGCCAGGTGGACGCTGTGGTGGCCCCGACTGGAGTGGTGGGTGTGGATACAGGGAGAGGAGGACGTTACGTCAAGTGTCGGCTGGTGGACTGTTTGTGGTGTGAGAGAGTCAAGGATAAATGTGGGCAAATTAGAATTCAGATTAGCAAAAAGGAAACAGTAAAACGGTTGTGTGTATTCCTCTTCTTCAGAGTTGTTAACATTTCAAGACAATTCTTTTGTGTAGCTTCTTGGGTATTAATTTCTTGACATTTCAAAACATCAAGATGAGTTCAGAGTCTAGAAGAAATTTTTTAGGAAGTTTATTTTTCCATTATAAAAGTAAATCATAAATATCACCAAAGCACAAAGAATAGAAGTGGCCCACGAATCAGAGACAATTTCAGTTAGCATTCACCCACCCACCCCCAAGGCCCTTTCCCTCCTCTATCTCAATCTGGTTTCTGTCTCTTACCGTTTTTATGACACTGCACAGTTCAATATCCTGCTTCTTACATTCAACCCTGTAAGATAATTTTTCCATATTTTCAAAATTATTCAAACATCACTTCCTATAGTGAAGATACATATATATGTAATATTCACATTATACATCTAAAGTCTTCTTTCCCTCTCCCTGTTTTTTTGTTTTGTTTTACTTTGTTTTGTTTTGTTTTGCTATAGGATCAATATATTTTCTGCTATCAAGTCATCCTTTACGTCCTGACACGCCTTCAAGCAGAAGAAGAGCAAAGAGAGCAGCCCCAGCCTCTGAAATGACATGGACAGAACAGCCTCTGATATCTGTCCATTTCCCTCCTAACTTCAGCAGACACTCCTGCTGTCTATTTAAAACAAAGATCACAGGGCAGCAAGTCCATACAACATCATTAGGCTTATTCTCCTCTACCTTAGAGGGGCATTCTTAGTAACAATAAATAATGTTGAAATGCTGTATTTTTTTTACAGCTACTTTAACCTGTGATAATTATTAAAGTTTTTTCTAACACTAACTGAATAATGCAAATTTTAGGGATGATTAAGGCAGCATTTGATTATAGTTGACATTGTTACCAGGACACACCAAGTCTGTTTTTAATGCACCAATCTTGTTTATAGCAAAATTATTTTCCAGTATTTTAATAAACTAGAGTTATTTTATAGGGGATACTTGAAACCAGTATTTAAGCTTTAAATGACAGTAATATTGGCATAGAAAAACAGGTAGCAAATGTTTACTGTATCAGTTTCTAATGTTTACTATATAGAACTTCCTGTAATATATTTATATACTTTTTCATGAAAATGGAGATATCAGATACATTTGTAACTGCATCATCTGTTATACAATATCATCTCACTTTGTAAATAAAAATACACCTTAAAACATGAACAAGCCAAAAGTGTGTGCAGACAAATTACACATTTTCAGTGTGCTATTTTTAACGACATCCCAGCCCCTGGAAAGGCAGGAACTTCTGGACCCCAACTCCCCATCTTCCCCATTGGTCCCAGCCATGCCAGCCCCAGGGACCGGGAGTGTTGTCAGAAAGCCTGAGAGACCTTCGCCAAGGTCTGATTTGATGGTGAGGGTCAGGTACTGGACAACAGTGGTTAAGAACTTCAGTCTCACTTCCTACCGCCTTCCTGTGAGCCTAAGTGATACATAAATCAGAGTTTTCAATCGTTGTAATAAAACTCAGAGTTTTCTATCTTGGCTGACAAGGGGTAATGAAAGAAAACAAGATCACACCACCTGGGAGATTTATATTCGATCTGCCTGAAGGGAAAGAGATGGCTTCAAAGAACCTGTTTCTGATTCTCAGCACTGAGCAGGGGTCCCGGACTCCTAATTCTGATAGCGCTACTGAACCCCGCCGTGAGCGACGCCACCCCCAGACCAAGGAAACTGCTTGGCTCGTCCTCATAGGAGCGACCGATTCTGAGCTAGTTAACTGGAATTTCGGATGTTACCCGAGTGCGACGATTTGCTGGGACCTGCTCCTGAAGAGCTGAGGTTATCTGAGGGCAGAAGACAGACGGTATCAGGAAATGCACAAAACCCCAGAACGGTGTGTGTGACTCCTCACAGGTAGCAGGTGTGACTCCTACCTCAGAAGTAGCTCTGAATCTGGCAAGAGAAGTACCACCACCATCATTCCCACTTCAATCAGAAGAGTTTTTACAGACTGGGTTATAGCTAAGGATTTCAAGGTGGGGGGGGTGCTGTTTCTATGGCTTTTAAAAAGATATTTAGAAACTCCTGTCCCAGGGAGTTGGAATCATGAGACTTTGTTTTCCTGTCATAAGCACAGGAAACCAGGCCAGCAGGGCTCCAGGAGCCAGTACAGCTGGAGGTGATTAGCTACCATCTGAAGTCAACAGAGAGGGGAGGGAGGAAGCTGGAGAAAGATCCTTTTTCTGGAAAGAATGTAGCTAGGAAATGGAAACTGGGGGAAGAAAATGCGGGTTTCGGTTTACAAACCCTGAATGGAAACTTCATTATAGTAAACATGTCGCCCCCCTCGTCTGGGAGGTGGCTCCACTGCCTCGGAACGGGGTTAGCCACTTGCTCTGGTCACGCTGGTTAGAAAGCACGGTGATGCCACAGTGCCAGGTAGCAAATGAATAAACAGGACTTGGCTCCTAACACAGGTTAGCTAGCTAAGGACCGTAAAATACACACCCAAACATAGAATGGCTCAAACATAATAGAAGCTTATTTCTAGGTATCTAACAGTTCTGGGCAGGAGAACAGCTCAACAGGGCAGCTCTCCTCCCTCCAACTGTTAGGAACCCAGGCTGATGGAGGTTCTGTAATCAACACCTAGCTTCCAAGGTCATCCCGGAAATTGTCTCCATTTCTCCAGCCAGAAAGGGGTGAAAGGGTATGGAGGCCACCTGTGGGGGACTTTATGAACCGGGCAGGCTTGGAAGTGAAGTGCATCACTGCCATTCATTCTGTCAGCAAGAATTACTCAAACAGTGCCCCTGAGCACAAGGAAGCTGGGAAGTGAGTTGGCTGAGCAGCTGTTTCCCAGCGACAGACAACTCTGTGCTGTATAGAAGGAGAAGCACGTGTTGTGATGGAGTCTATTTATAAAATTGAGCTAAAGTTGTATATTCTAGAAGAATGTACCTTAGAACAGTCCTGAGCACCTCAGGATTGGAAACATCACCTTGTCTCCAAATCAAAACTTTGTTAGATGTCATTAGTAGAAGTATTTCTGAATTATGATAAAAAGGGAAGTCACTGCTGAGAAAGGGCAAGGTGTTCACAGCTGTGGTTCCATTAGCCTGCTAGAGCTCTTGGTTTTAAAATGACTAGTTATCTACACGCAATGTGATACATTCAAGAGATTAACAATTCACCAAAGCTGTCCTTTAGTCAGATACCTAGACAGTAAGAAAATGTGTTCCCATTTTATATAATTCAAGGTAACTTGTTATGCTGGTGATAAATATAACAAACCTGCATAAGATTTTAAAGCCAGTTTAAAATTTAATGTATCAACTTGGAACTGCATTTGACTGCAAGTAACCAAAAACTAACCAAACAGGCTTACACAGATTAGAGATTTCTTCCCTTAAGAAAACCAGTTTGGAAGTAGACTTTGCTGGGATTGATTCTGCAGTTCAGGAATGTTAGCTGTGGTCCCATTTGCTTATTTTTGCTTTTGTTTTCCCTTCCTGAGGAGGCAGATCCAAAACGACGTTGCTGAGACTCATGTCAAGGAACATACCACCTGTGTCTTCTTCCAGAAGCTTCATGGTTACAGGTCTTATATTTGTCTTTAATTCATTTTGAGTTTATTTTTGTGTATGGTGTGAGAAATAGTCCAGTTTGATCTTTTGCATGTAGCTGTCCAGTTTTCCCAATGCCACTTATTGAAGAGTGTCTTTTCCACATTGTATATTCTCGCCTCCTTTGTCATAGATTAATGGCACATAGAAGTGTGGGTTCATTTCTGCACTGTCTGTTCTGTTCCATTGATCTGTTTTTGTGCAAGTACCATACAATTTTTATTACTGTAGATTTGTAGTATCATTTGAAATCAAGGGCCATGATGCTTCCACCTTTGTTTTTTTAAGATTGTTTTGACTATTTGGGGTCTTCTGAATTTCAATACAAATTTTAGAATTATTTGTTCTAGTTCAGTGAAAAATGCCATTGGTATTTTGATAGGGATTGCCTTGGGTAGTATGGTCATTTTAACAATATCTTTCCATTTGTTTGTGTCATCTTCACTTCTTTCATCAGTGTCTTACAGTTTTCCGAGTTACAGTTCTTTTACCTCCTTAGATTTACTCCTAAGTATTTTATTCTTTTCGATGCAATTGTAAATGGGATTGTTCTCTCAATTTCTCTTTCTGATAGTTTGTTGTTAGTATATAGAAACACAACAGATTTCTATATATTAATTTTATATCCTGCAACTTTACCAAATTCATTGATGAGTTTAGTTTTTTGGTGATGTGTTAGGATTTTCTATATATAGCATCATGTCATCTGCAAACAGTGACAGTTTTACTTCTTCCTTTCCAAACTGGGTTGTTTTGTTTTGTTTTGTTTTGTTTTGTTTTGTTTTTGTCTGATCGCTATGGGGAAGACTTCAAATACTATGTTGAACACAAGTGGCAAGAGTGGGCATCCTTGTCTTGTTCCTAATCTTAGAGGAAATACTTCCAGCTTTTTATCATTGAGTATGATGTCAGCTCTAGGCTTGTCATATTTGGCCTTTATTATTTTGAGGTATGGTTCCTCTATACCCACTTTCTGGAGAGTTTTTATCATAAATAGATGTTGGATTTTGTCATAAGCTTTTTCTGCATTTACTGAGATGATCACATGATTTTTATCCTTCAGTTTGTTAATATGGTGATCACATTGATTTGTGGATCTTGAACCATTCTTGCTTCCCTGGACTAAATCCCATTTGATCATGGTATATAATCATTTAATGTACTGTTGAATTTGTTTGAGAATTTTTGTTATTGATGTTCATCAGTGATATTGGCCAGTAATTTTCTCTTGTGTGGGTGTATGTGGTGTCTTTGGTTTTAGTACAAGGTGATGATGGCCTCATAGAATGAGTTTAGAAGCATGCCTTCCTCTAATTTTTTGGACCAGTTTCGAGAAGGATAGGTGTTAACTCTTTTTTAGATGGTTAGTAGAATTCACCTGTAAAGTGGTCCTGGACTTTTGTTGAGATTTTTAAAAATACTGATTCAGTTTCATTACTGTTTCTTCTTGGGACATTGTGCATTTCTAGGACTTTGTCCATTTCTTCTAGGTTGTCCACTTTATTGGCATATAATTGTTCTTAGTAATCCCTTATGATCCTTGTATTTCTGTGGTGTTGGTTGTAACTTCTTTTTCATTTCTGATTTTATTTGGGCCCTTTTTCTTTATATATCTGGCTAAAGTTTTATCAATTTTGTTTATCTTTTCAATGAACAAGTTCTTAGTTTCATTGATCTTTTTTCTTTCCTTTTTTTTATCTCTATTTCTGCTCTAATCTTTATTATTTCCTTCCTTCTACTAATTTTGGGTTTTGTTTGGTCTTCTTTTTTTATTTACTTAACTGTAATATTAGGTTATTTGAGATTTTTCCTGTTTCCTGAGGTAGGCTTGTATCATTATAAACTTCCCTCTTAAAACTATTTTTGCTGCATCCCATTGATTCTGGATTATTGTATTTTTGTTTTCATTTGTCTCCAGGTATTATTTTATTTCCTATTTGGTTTCTTCAGTGATCCATTGGTTGTTTAGTGGCATGTTGTTTAATCGCCATGTTTGTGGTTTTTGCAGTTTTTGTTTTGTAGTTATTTCTAGTCTCACAGCATTGTGGTCAGAAAACATGCTTGATATGATTTCAATCTTAAATTTACTGAGACTTGTTTTGTGGCATAGCACGTGATTTATGGCGGAGAATTTTCCGTGTGCCCTTGAAAAAAAAAATGTGTATTCTGCTGCCTTTGGATGGAATGTTCTGTATGTGTGCATGTATATGCATGTCCCTCTTATCTAATGCATCGTTTAAAGCCAGTGTTTCCTTATTGATTTTCCACTTGGATGAACTATCCATTGATGTGAGGTGTTAAAAGTTCCCTACTGTTATTGTGTAACTGTCAATTTCTCCCTTTTGCTTGTTAATATTTGCTATAAGTATTTAGGTGTTCCTATGTTGGGCGCAGTATTTTTACAATTGTTATATCTTCTTGTTGAATTGATCCTTTATCAGTATGTAATGCCTTTCTTTCCCTCTTGTTACAATCTTTGTTTTAAAGTCTATCTTGTCTGATATAAATATTGATACCCCAGCTTGCTTTTGTTTTCCATTTGCATGGCATGCCTTTTTCAGTCCTCTATTCAGTTTGTGTGTCTTTAGATCTAAAATGAGTCTCTTATAGGCAGCATATATGTCTTTTTTTTAACCCATTCAGCCACTTTGTGTCTTTTGATTGGAGCATTTAATCCATTTAAAGTAATTATTAATAGGTATGTACTTATCGCCATTTTTTTCGTTGTTTTCTGATTGTTTTTGAAGCTCTTTTTTTTGTTACATTCCTCTTTTGCTCACTTATGACTTGATGATTAGCTTTATTGTTATGTTTGGACTCTTCTCTTTTGTGTGTGTCTATCTGTTACAGATTATTGGTTTGTAGTTACCATGAGGTTTATATATAACTATATACACTATATATATATACACACACATATAGGAACAAACATATATGTATATAATTTTAAGTTGATCTCTTAAGTTTGCATTGTAACCACCATGCGTTTTTACTTCCCTCCCCACATTTAACGTGCTTGACATCATATTTACATCTTTTTATTTTGTGTATCCCTTAACTAATTGTGGATATAGATGATTTTACTACTTTTGTCTTTCAACTTTCCCACTAGCTTTATAAGTGGTTAATCTACTATCTTTATTGTATATTTGCCTTTACCAATGACATTTTTCGTTTCATAATTTTCATATTTCTAGTGTGGCCTTTTCTTTCCCACTTAGAGACATCTCCTTAGCATTTCTTGTACAACTGGTTTAGTTATGCTGAACTCTTAGCTTTTGCTTCTTTGTAAAACTCTCTCTCCTTCAAACTTGAATGATAGCCTTTCTGGGTACAGTGTTCTTTGTTGTAGGTTTTTTTCATCACTTTGAATATTTCATGCCACACCCTTGTGGCTTGCAGAGTGTCTACTGAAAAGTCAGCCGATATTCTTCTGGGAATTCCTTTGTGTGTTGTAGTTACAGGGAAAAGTTGCTTTTCCCTGGCTCTTGTTAAGAGTCTAATTTTTTGCCATTTTAATTACAGTGTATCTTAATGTGTACCTCTTTGGAACTATGATTCCTGGACCTGGATGTCTCTTTTCCCAGATAAGGGAAGTTTTCAGCTATTAATGTCTTCAGATATGTTCTCTGCCCCTTTCTCTCTCCCTTCCGTCTATGACCCCTATAATGTGAATGTTAGTACACTTGATGTTGTCCTGAAAGTCTCAAACTATTATTTTTTTTCTGTTCAGTTTCAGTGATTTCCACTACTGGTCTTTTAGTTCCCTGATCCATTCCTCTGTATCATCTCATCTACTGTTGATTCCTTGTAGTATATATTTTATTTTTGTTATTATATTCTTCAGCTGTTTGGTTCCTTATATATTCTCTTTGTTAAACTTCTCACTGGGTCATCCATTGTTCTCCTGAGTTTATTGAGCATCTTTATGGTCATTACCTTAAACTCTATTGGGTAAACTGCTTATCTACACTTTGTTCTTCTGGGACTTTGTCTTGTTCCTTGTTTGGAACATACTCGTCCCTCTCTCTTCATTCTGCCTAATTCTCCATGTTTATTTGTATGCATTAGGTAGGTTGGTTACATTTCCCAATCTCAAGAGAAGTGGCCTAGGCAGGAGATGTACTGTGGGGCCCAGCAGCACACTCCCACCAGGTCACCAGAGCCATATACTCTAGGGGTTCCCCCTACGAGGGCTGCAGGGGCCCTTCCTCTGCGGCAGGGCCAATGGCGCTGGGCACACTGTCAGGCAGGGCTGGCCACAGCCTTTGCCTGCCCAGCCCTGCCTACTGCGGCGGCTGCTGACCCACTGGCGGGCAGCGCTGGGGCCCAGTGCGGCTGGCTGCACAGCCTAGGGCATCCCAGAGCCAGTGCCAGCCCACTGGGAGGTGGGCCTGGCCCCCGGGCAGCTGACGGTAGTACCTGGGGGCCCAGGGCTGGCACTGACCCACAGGTGGGCAGGGTATCATCCTTTATAAGGAAGGAAACAAGTGCTCAAGGTTGTCAAATAACAAAGCTGAGATTCAGTTCTAGGACTGCTTGACTTCAACCCACAACTCCTGAGTCATTCTAGCTCTTTAAGTGGACGACGACACGGAGCCCTGCCAGTGCCCGTGTTCTTTCCACTGCGCTGTGCTGCCTCGGCTCTCCAGCTGGCTCTCTTCCAGACACAGAACTGGACTCATTCTGCTTCACGTTATTTCTCTGGCCCCACTTCTCAGCTGCATGTAGGCCCCAGCTACTATGAATGTATGATTATTTAGATCAGCTAGACTATAATTTATTCCATTAGAGCTTTTTTTAAATTACATTATTCTTTTTAAAGATAATGGATGACCTCCTGGACAACTTGACCATTTCTGGTTCTAGTAACATGTTAACAAACCATCTCTGGAGATGGCAGTCTTCTGATGTGACTACTTTGAAACCCTTG